AAGTACTGTCATCTAAAATACTTTCAGCTAAAATACTTTGACCTAAATACTCTCAGCTAAAATACGTTCAGCTAATACTCTCAGCTAAAATACTTTGACCTAAAATACTGTTAGCTAAAATACTCTCAGCTAAAATACTTTCAGCTAAAATACTCTCAGCTAAAATACTTTCAGCTAAAATACTCTCAGCTAAAATACTGTCAGCTAAAATACTTTGACCTAAAATACTTTCAGCTAAAATACTCTCAGCTAAAGTACTGTCAGCTAAAATACTTTGATCTAAAATACTCTCAGCTAAAATACTTTGACCTAAAATACTCTCAGCTAAAATATTGTCGTCAGCTAAAATACTGTCATTTAAAATATTGTCAGCTAAAATACTTTGACCTAAAATACTCTCAGCTAAAGTATTGTCGTCAGCTAAAATATTGTCAGCTAAAATACTTCAAGCTAAAATACTGTCATCTAAACAAACACCACTCATTTAAATGTTTACTGGGCCTCAACATGATGTGGTTTATGCATAAAAATAATTGTTTAGTTATAAACCTGACTTTCTTGGGTTTAGGGATTAAAGATTTTTTTAGGTTTGACATCATAGTGACCTAGTTAGGTTTAGGGATTAGAAGTACTTGGTTGTATTTACATATTAAAGTATTGTTTGGATTTAAGCATTTAAAGTTATTTATTGCAGTTTGGCAATAAAGACTTGGTCAAGGCCTTTGAAGAACTGTTTCCATCAAATTCTTGGTCAGGCTTGAAGTTAATCTGGTGTCGTGCACTAATAAAAACGAGCTTCTCACGCCGACGGTTTGAATCCAGGTGGAACCGGCAGGAACAGTTCAAGCCTCCGTTCAGCCGCATGCAGGTATTTTCAGGGTGTTTGTGTTTGCTGGACTGGCGCCAGGCACGTCTGCGTCTAATTCCAGCAGCGTTATTTTCAGCGGCGTGTTTTTCACCTCGGCTGCGAGCGTCCAGCAAACCGTTCAGGGGGAGTGAGGAGGCAGGTAAACAGCGGCAGGGTGCTCCAGGAGTATTTTTAGCTTGTTGAATGGACAACGGGCCCTTTGCGAGACATCCTGGCAGAGGAACGGCCCGGAGAGAACGCAGCGAGCAAAATCATCTCAGCCGTGCTGGAAATCCTCCATCTTTCATCGCTTCTAAGCACCAGTGGAAATTTCCAAACGGCCTCGGTCCTTCAGAGCCGCTCCCTCAGGCGCCCCCATCTTCCTCCGTAAGAAGACGAGCTTGACGCAGTTCGGTGCACCTAGCACCTCCGTGAAGCTTTTGGCACCTTAGTTCCGTTCAAAATAAAGGATAAGGAAGCCTGTGAATGTCAATGTTTACATACGTGTGAGCGCAGGGGGAAGACTGGGAGGCTTTCAGGACGATTCCCTCGGTGCGTCTGCAGAGCGAGAGACGACTCGCACGAGCTGTAAAAACAAACTGTCTTCCTCTAGTTCTCCGACGGGGCGTTCAGCGGCGTGACGGCCATCACCTTTCTTCAGCTGGACAACAACAACCTGAAGTCTCTTCCTAAAACCCTGCAGCTGAAGACCGTCGCCAACATGACGCTCTTCAACAACCCCTGGAGCTGCACCTGTCAGCTGGCTCCACTGCGCAGGTAAGACGCTCACCTGAGACACCAACACGCTCTTTAATGAGTTTATTTATATGGTCGTCCTAAAACTTTTTTAGCATTCTTCATCAGAAGCGAATGATAGAAAAAGTACATGAAACCTTTTCTATCTGATGACTCGGTAACAGGAGTTTAAATCATGATAATCTATTAAAAAAAATAATATATATATATTATAGTATTTTCCGCCGTACAAGTCGCATCAGTCCAAATGTGTCTAATAAAGTGGAAAAACCCAAATACGTCACCGCTGACAACCCAGAAATGTGGGCCGATGTGCCAAAAATCGATTGGCTGCCAAACAGCGGTGACGGGAGGACTTTAACAAGAATTTAACAAGATAAACACCTAAAAACAATTGTTTGTTCGACATTGTAGTAAAAGTGTGTCTCAGTTGAACTTTTACTTAATAAATGCACGTCATTTCGCTGAAATGCAGCTCCAGGTCGCTCCAGGTGAGCTGGACGACTGTGGCCCTTTATGGCAAGACAATTGTGTCATTAATAGACACTTTTTAACTATTACATGATACAACGGCATGCCATATACTCGAGTGCCATCTAGCGGCTGAGAACGGTAGTGTTCCGTATTTTCAGTCAGAATGAATGAAAACGGTCATATCTCAGCTAAAAATTGTTTTATAAATATAAATACGTCACTTGGGAGTATATGTCGCAGGGCATGCAAATTATGCAAAAAAAAACCCTTTTAACTTGCACTGAACTTTAAATGCATCATTGACATTTTAGCTTTTAGGACCTAGAACTAATTAAATCTGCAGTTTGCATTCAGCAACGGTTACAAGCTCCAACAGGAAACTACTTCAAGCTCCTTGTGAGGAGGTTCGATTAGAGAACCGTTACAAAACATTCAACTTGTTTTAGGGACAACCATGAAACTGGTCCTTTTGGCACCCCCACCACTTATTTTGTTCATAGATCGTCTTTTAAGTGCTGAAGACATTATTGTTCTTAGTTTTAGACATTAGTTGTAAAATTCTTGTTTAGGTTTGTCCATTAGGGGGACTAAAGTTTAGACTTTGATGTGTTGGCTGGTTTAAAGCTATAAAGATACTTGGCTATACGGTACCTTTAGATTAAAACAGTAAATAGACTTAAAGTTAAGTCAGGTCCTCTGGATGAATTCTTCTTGTTGAAACATTTAATCTTTTATCCAAATGACTTCTTCAGTCTGAGGAGCTGCAATAAACTCAGTCTTATAAGCATTATTATTATTAGCTTATAAGACTGAGTTTATTGCAACGCCTCAGACTGAAGAAGTCTTTTGGATAAAAAACAAAATGCTTCAACAAGAAGAATTCATCCAGAGGACCCGACTTAACCTTGTTAGATTTATATCTACCTGGATTATTGAGCATCAGTATATAGTAAATATACTTATTGGTACTTAAATTTGGACATCAAAAGGTCTTGGTTAGATAAGTTAAAGCAAAGGTTTAGATATTATGGGGAACTCCTTAACCCTATGGTTTGGTTATGTTTAAGCATTAAAAGTACTTAGACGTGGACATTCAGTAGCTTTATGCACATTTACTAAGTTATGGATGGACATTAAAGTATTTGGTTATGTTTAAGCATTAAAAGTACTTGGGTAGATTTAACGTATTAAAACAAGTTTTTCAGGATTAAATCCAACAAAGTTCAGTCAGGTCACCTGGACCATTTCTTTTTGTTTCTGTTCCTTCATCCAAAGGACTTCATCAGTCTGAGCAGCCCCAACAAACTCAGTCCCACCACCGTCCAGATGACCTGACTGAACTTTGTTGGATTTTCTACCTGGATTATTGAGCATGAACTTTGATGTTTGTCTGGATTAGGTGTTAAAATTAAGTTTAAGCAACAGAGCTTTTGGGTTATAAATCATCTTAACGATTGATTGTAATTATTTATTGTAGAAAGCATCTCTTACATTTTTAAAGGAGGGCAAAGATTCTATCAGCAAATACCAGTTTTAGGCGCGTTAAGTCATTGAGTACAAAAATTTAATGTTTCTAGCTACTAGAAATGTTTCCGTTTGCACAAAAGAAAAATGTTGCCATATGTTTGGGAACCATAACGAACTTTAAATGTTTCAAGTTACACGCTCAGAATTTTACAGGAATGATTTCCTAACGGCTCGTCTGCAGCCATCTTGAAATTCATGCGCCCTCTTCCCAACGTTTCTCTGCGCCCGCAGGTGGATGGACTCGAGACAAAACGGCCCGGATGCAGTTTGTGCGTCTCCGTCTTCGCAGAGAGGCAAACGAGTGAGCGAGAGCTCGGCCTTGAGGCGCTGCAAGATCCGGACGAAGCAGAAAAACAAGAAGGACCCGCTCTAACGGGCTCACGGGTACCGGACACCGAACCAGCTGCAAACCTTTCAAACAACTTGCCACAGATTTCTGCTTTAGTCCAGTGAATACAAAACTCACCCATCAAAGACAGATAATTAATAATTTTATAGACGTTTAATTTAGGAGCTGAGAATCTCGAGGGTAAAGTCGGGCCAGTGCTGTTCTGGGATCTAAAAAAGAAAATGCTACAAATTTAGTTTCAAGTGGTCACAGAGCGGTTCTGAGCTTCTCAGAACTGTCCAGACATTTTTATTTTGCCACCGGTGTCTCAAGAACACTTGAACTGTTAGGGAGCTCTCTTAATCAATCATCAATGATCAATAATTAATAAAAAAGTGATGCAGATCTGTACAATTTCATTTTAACCACAGATCTTTGGGGTGGGGAGGGAGTCTCTGTTGGAGGAGGGGTCCAGGTTTCTGGGCGTCTTGTTCCTGAGAGACGGCCGGACGGAGCGGAGACGGATCCATGGATCAGGACCTCGTCCTCAGTAATGAGGGCGTTGCTTCGGCTGGTTGTGGTGAAGAAAGAGCTGAGTCCAAAGGCAAAGCTCTGGATTTACTGCTCTGTCTTTGTTCCAACCACCTGTGGTCATGAGGTTTGGATCAGGACCGACAGAACCAGATCCTGAATCCAAGTGGCTGAAATGGACTCCCTCCGCAGGGAGGCTCAGCCTTAGAGACAGGAGGAGCTCCGTCATCCGGGGGGGAGCTCAGAGTAGAGCTGCTGCTCCTCTGCATGAAAAGGAGTCAGTTGAGGAGGTTCATCTGATCAGGACCCCCCTCCCTTTGGGGCACGTCCTACTGGGAGGAGACACCGGGGCAGACCCAGAACTCTCGGGAGCCATTACATCTCCTCTCTGGTCTGGGAACACCTCGGGTCCTCCAGGAGGAGCTGGAGTGTCTCTGAGGAGGAGGTCTGGGTTTCTCTTCTGGGCCTGTTGCCTCCATGACCTGACCACAGTCGATGATGATGATGATGATGATGATGATGATGATGATGATGATGATGATGA